ACTACAGCGTCTCGTTCCAGTTCTAGTTCTGGCACAAACGTGGCCAAGAAAATCCAACAACAAGACCCCGATCATTTTTTATTTCATTTTCATCTCCTCAATGGAGAAGCCGTCTCTGCCACGCTAGCTGACTTGCAGAAATTGGAAGGGGAGTATTTTTTTGGTAAAAACAACTCTCACAAGAACAAGCCGAAGGGTGTTGTTATGCCTATCCGGCTTGATGATGTGCGCATTGGTTGTGCGATGCTTCTGACTCAAATGCGCCAGGAGGGCCAGGGCGGTAGCTCTTTTGAAGACAATGCGCCAATCTTTCCAAGCTCCGTACAATTTTTTCCGAAGGTGGAGGAGGAAGACAAACACAAGGAAGAAGGAGAAGAAGAAGAGCAAACTACCCGCCTCGCCGACGACCACGTGATCGTGGACAAAGATGAAGCTGCTAATTCTGGTGATAAAACTGCGCGATCCTTCCAAGTTGTGGTCGCTCTTGAATTCTCTGAGCCGCATGTGGAAGCGTTGCATAACCTACTGAACGAAACTACATCCACCGCAATGAAATCGACGACTACCATTTCGACGTCTATGACTGACAGCGAGATACAGGAATATATCACGGAGTGTCACCGCAGGTCTCCCGGAAAGAACCTGGTGCCGCTGGATTGCTTAGATCTCCCCCCGGAATTGCGAGCGATGTGGAAATTTTCGAAAACATGGAGGAATCCCGAGAGCCTAACCTTGTGGGGCGACTCCTTCGAAAGAGGGTACTGGGCTAAAACGGATCTGCTGGAGGACCTAGATAGTTCCGAGGTGGAGTGGAGAGAGGAAGATGGCCTACAGCAACGCAATAATTACGCAGGACTTGCGAGTGCGGAGTGGCTTCCATTGGGCTTCAGAGGGACCTGGGAGCTCCACCACCACGTCGAGTATTTTGTGTATATCCGAAAGGATAAAAGTGTCGACGCCGAGCCGTACCAGGAGCCGGAGGACGATACAAAAATGAGTCAGCGGCGCTTGTTCGAGATGGACCAGAGTGAGGTCGAAAATCTACCCCATGTTTCTCCGCGATTTGGGGAGGTAAGGTGGATTGTGCACGCGGAAGGGCAGCTACAACGAGTTGCCCGCATTACAAAGGGCTCCTTCCGAAGATTCATCTACTACGCCGAGCATGTACAACGTCGTGCGGACATGCGGTATGGTGACCATGCTGACTTCTGTGGTGACCATGCTACCTTCCATCATAGACACCCTGATGGAAGCCTCACCGACGATGTCCTGGATTTTGCGCAGCTTTTTTTTTTGAAGCTGTAGTGACATTCTCCTCAACTTCATCTTTTGAAATTGTGACAGAAGGAG